ATAATTGTTGCTGAACTGCCTTCCCTCCAGATTGCACTAGTTTATATTTTCCCTGACATTCCTTTTCTTACTCAGTGCAACCCTGACAAGCTAATAATTTGGCAATAATTTGACCGTTTAATCACATAGATCTTTTTGTTTTCTCTTGTTGACTAACAATCAAAAAATTTATTGGTTTAAAAACAGCATCATTAATTTGCTCACAAATAGGTACTTTTGTTTGGACTTGGTGGGAACAACTTGTCTGTGTTTTACTTAATGTTATTGCTGGTGACTCAAAGGCTAGGGGCTGAAAAGGTCACTTCACATATCTGGTTATTGCAGGGAGCTCAGCTGGGGTTGTGGGGAACACATCTCTAAAGTCCTTCCTGCATCGCTGCTTGGAGTCCTCACAGTAGGATGACTGTGTTCTAAGGAAGGGTCTTCTAAGGACCCAGGTGGGGACCGTGTCTTTCTGTCACCATTGACAATTTAGCCTCAGGAATCAGTGTCATTTCTACCACTGTCACAGATGGCCACTGGAGCAGGAAGGAACATAGACCTGGCTTGGTAATGTGGAAGTGACTCCAGCTTGTTGAGAGCTTGTGGGATGGATGTGTTGGTGCATCTTGGCTTGAAAAATACAGGTGACCACACCGTGGAATGTTTTTGATGTGTATCATTAATCAGGAGTGTGATAATGCATCATTTGATATGTTTATTGACCACTTCAATCTCTCCCCCCAACTTGCCATTTTATATCCGTTGCTTCCTTTTATATCTGGCTATAGATTATTGATGATATTATTGATTTGTAATAATGCTTGTAGATGAACTCAAATAGACTAAAAATTTGGAAGACAGCTCATTGTGTTCTTGGAAATAAAATGTGTGTGTGGGCGGGATAGATGTTCCATTTGGTGACAGTGGCGATTTGTACGGGAGCAATTATATGTCACAATCATAGTATTTTTGTCTTTTAAACAAGGGGTTTCAGGAAATGTGGGTGAAGAGAGCCATGTGCTTTCCTCCAGTGGTTGTCCTTCTCCCTGCTCCATCAATGATGAGCAACAAGATCAAAGATACCTCAGTTATCTTCGGTCATTGTTATGCCTCAGAAGCCAAAAAGTTTTAGAGGCCTGCAAGGGAAAGGCAACACTTGAAGGAGTGGAAAACCCTAATGGCATATTTTACTATTGAAAGTTGCTTTGAGTACCTTTTTTGGGGGTGTGATTTGACTTTTTTTTTTTTAGATTTTATTTATTTGTATATACAGAACTGGGGTACAGGCCAGAGGCTCAGGGGTGGCGGGAGGCTTCATCAGAGACAGAGTGGGGAGCAGAACAGGCAGATGACGAAGTACACTGCTGAGGGGAGCAGTGGGCGGGTCAGGAGAGGTCTGCCACGCCATGTGGTCACCTCCGGGGCAGGCGGGGATCGGACTCATGCGGAAGTGGCTTTAGCCTCTCAGTGCAGTGCTTTAACCCGCTGCGCCACCAGGAGGGACTATTTTTTTTAAAAGATTTATTTATTTATGCATATAGAACTGGGTTATAGGCCAGAGGTGTGAGTGGTGAGAGGATTCACCAGAGACAGAGTGGGGAGAGGCGCAGCGGGCGGCTCAGGAGAGGTCTGCTGAACCATGTGGGTCACCTCCCTGGCTGGGGATCAAACTCTTGCTGCAGTGGCTGTGGACAGCTTCACAATGCTGTGCTTTAACCTGTTGTGCCACCAGGGAGGGCCCTGACTATTTTTTAAGCTTTTTTTGTCTCTTATGTGAGATTTGGAATTATATCAACAAAAATGGTTTGACCCAACCGAATGATCATTTTCTAAATTATGAGGATGTTTAACAAAATAAATCTTTTCTTTGTACACCTTTCCACCAAATTAGAATGTTACTCTTCATCTGTCATCTTTTTTTGGGATAAATGATTAGTCAACAATATTAAAAAACAGAACTCAACTAAGTAAAATTTTTTACAATATTTTTACAATTAAAACTTAATTATAACAAGATGAAATACTCTTTTGTTTTGGTCATCTTTTATTACAGTTTAGCATTTGAAACATGAAAAACAGCTTTATGAAAAAATTGGAATGAATCACATAAAAGAAGAAACCAAAACAAAGGGCCCAAGAGGGTTCAAGTGAACATTTACTGTCTTTACTGAGATTCTGTCAGTAACTTATCTATGAAGAGTTGATTTCCTTTATCCATTTCAGGAATGGACAATCTTGGTAGCATTTTTTAAAAGGTTTATTTATTTATGCATATAAGAACTGGGGTACAGGCCAGAGATTCAGGGCCTGAGAGGGCTCACCAGAGACAGAGTGGGGAGCAGAACTGGCAGACTGATTGAAATATACCGCTGAGGGGAGCAGCGAGCAAGACAGGAGAGGTCTGCCATGCCACGTGGGTAACGACCCTGGCTGGGAATCGAACTCCAGTGACTGTGGATAGCTTCATAAAACTGTGTTTAACCCCTTGTGCCTCCAGGGAGGGTCCTGAATATGATCACTTTAAAAATAATAATCTTGATTGAAGGACTCTCATGAGGAAAAAGCATTGAGCTGGAAATGTTCTAAGATCTATTTCTTTGAACTTTAAGCTCCATATGTGAATGAGAGGTGAGCTGCGCATAACGAAGATCTGGGAAGTGTGGATGTGATATGGAAAGTCTGGATTGCACAGGACTTTGAAAGTAGCAATGGGAAGTTTGTACTTTATTCTAAAGACTCTGAGCCACATTTTTAGGTCTTTGAACAGAGGACCAACATTGAAATCTTAAAGCAATATAGATGTGATAATTATATCTAGATAGTCAGTGGTTCCTGTCAACTTAAATTCTTGACCAGAAGGACTAGTGAAAAAAATATATTGCAGAGGGAAGTAGTTGCTGTAATACAGGATGTGAAATGGAAACCTTTGGCAGGTTGTGGAACAATGAGATTTTCAAGTAACCCTTGGGAACTTTTTGTAAATATACTTCGGACTTTTCATACTTGTAGGATTAAGCAAATTTATTAGACAATAACCCCCTTTCTCAAAGAATTTTAATCTCTTGGTTGGGAGAAAGGATTGGGTTGTTATGCATGGACAAAGGGAAAAAAGGAGCTGTACTTTTCTGGATGACTGCTCAGGTAACTGAAGATAAATTTACCTCAGGAGAATGATCTGTCTTTTAGCCTGAAGGGAGTGCTTTCAGCATATTTTAAAAACTGAACTCTTGGTCTATTTTTAAGTTTCTGAAAATTAACTGACTCAGGGAACTCAGCTGTAGGGAATGATGCTGACGTGTCAGACTTCAGCATTGCCAGCTTTTTTTCTCTTTTTGATATGAGATGATTTGGCTGTGCCTAAACATACTTTATATTTTTGGTGATTTCCACCATTGTTTATGTTGGAGATATTGCTGAGAAGGATGCCTGATGAGGAAATAAAGACTGGCTAGCTGTTGCTTAAGTGAGCATTTAATTTAATCTCACAACACTCGGGTTATTGGTTGGATGGAGTGACCAGTGGGTTATTGCTTTTACTTTTTGGCCTTGACTTCTTCCCGGTTGCGCACAAATCTGGAATCTAGACTGAACTAGCAACAGGGGCGTATGTGTGTACTAACTGCTGATTTTCTGTTGGTATGAGATGGGCTTTGCATGTCTACTAGCATCCTTTTGAAGAAAATATAAATTACTACTCAGTTTATGTTCCAAGAAATACTAATGTGCTACTCTACAGTATTCAGCCCCAATAGAATATTCATGCCTTTTGTAAATATTTTGTATCTACTATCATTTCATGCTTACACTAACTTGTAAATGAGAAAGGGCTGGTTTAATTCCTGTTTGAGAACTGAGGTGCTGAAGCGTAAATGAGAGACCAAGTTAAGGTTGCAAACTCAACGAATACATGGCTAGGACGTCTGTTATATTTTCATCTTGCATTGTCACTTTTGGAGCATTTTATAGGGAGAAAAAGCTGAATGCCTTTTCTCTTTGTTGTTATTTTTTAGCGGCGCCTAAGACATCTTCGGAATATTGCAGCCCGGAACATTGTTAATAGAAATGGTCATCAACTCCTGGACACCTACTTCACACTTCACTTGTGTAGTACTGAAAAGATATATAAAGGTAAGGGGATCTATGGCCTCACATAGCTCATTCTCTTTTTTAAATTTCATTCTTTTTATCAAAATGATTCTCTGTTACTGCTTTTTGGAAAACTGAATTGTCTGTATTCCACCAGCAGTTATGTATATTAAAGAAACATGGCTATTGGATTGTTTTTTCACACCATTGAAGCTTACATTGATGTTTATTATTTCTTTATGAATGCTAACTATTAATATATTTTTTTCTAGTATGTAGCATATGAATCTAGCATCCTCCTGATTTTGCTTTTCTTTAAAATGTAATTGATTTTTTTAATATTATGATAAAATTGGAAACTACCCTAAAGAGTCATATTTAGAAGAAAGGCCTAGTGTCGTTTAATCTTTTTTGCAAACTAGACTGTGAATTATTCGGTCCGCTAGAGTTTTAAGAGTAATCCAAATGTTTACTTTCAAATCACAGAGACATACTGGGTTGATGTGTGATAGATATGTGTGTGAATGATATAGTTAGTTGTCCTATGAAGGATGTTCTAAGAGAGGCTATGTGGTGTATAAATACTGACAGGAACAATAAATTAGGAGAGGAAATACATAGATACTAGTTTTAGATCAGTCATTTCCTAGCTATGTGACTTTGGACAATGATGATGGCTTTTTGAACTTTACTCTCCCCATTTATAAAACGGAGATAATGATGTCTTATGAAATCAACATGGATTGTTATGAGGATCAAATGATATAAGTTTACAACTCTTGGTAAGATGTGACCAGAGGCTTAGTCGTACTAAACAAAGAGGTCACATTATTTTAATAAGAGTTACTAAAAATTTAGCTGAAATTTATTCTGTCACATTTTATCTTTTTAGTTTTAATTACTTAAAGAAATCATTAAAGCAGTAGTTGTTCAACAACTACTTTCCAAACATTTCAGTTCCAATGTTTGTGCCTAAAAAATTCAATCGAGTAGAACCCTACTCCCCATGTAAATGTTAATGTTGTATTAAAATATTTTTTATTTATTTATTTATTTATTTATTTTTATTAAAAAGTTTATTTTTACATCATTTTTCACATTTTTTTTTTCATCTCAATTGTAATCCCCACAGGCTTCCCATCACCAAATCACCCCTGTGCCACCACCATAGTCCCGTGCATTTCCCTCCATTCCCCCCCACCCCCGTTTTTGTGTATTAAAATAATTTTAAGAGTGAAAAAGAACTCTAAATATTGCCATTTTTATGTAATTTTATTTCATTTTTATTTTTCATTCTATGGTTTCATATTTTTAAGCAAGTATATTAACCTAAATGAATAATGCTTGCTATTAAACAGATGACACAATTCTCAGTGGCCTACCAAAATAATTTCTTAGACTTAAGCCCGATAAGGGTGTTATTTATCAGGTACTGTCTTGTGTTGACTCAGATATCTAGGCTCCTTCTATTTTGGGATCCGCCATCCACAACACATGGCCTCTGACATGGCAGGAGAGGATTAGTTGAGGGAGAGTTTTTTAATGGAAATAGCCCACATCAATTTTGTTATATCCTACTGGCCATAAATCAGTCACATTGCTCTTTTTTTTTTTTAGATGAAAAGGCCACTGGGGAATGTTGTCTTTTTATGTGTCCAGAAGGAAAGTGATTCTATGTGGTTACTATTTGTTTCAAGGGTATAAATATTTTTGCAGCTCTTAATACATTTGATCTACTCATCACCTAGTTGGTTTTATCACTAACAGTATAAGGCCAGAGGATTTTAAATTTTTGAGAGGTTTCTATATAACTAGCTCTTCTTTAAAAATGCCTGTGTCCTTATTCTAGCATTTCTTCTGACAATGGGAATTAACATAGTGCTTAGCATATTTTAGGTTTTTGTAAATGAGAGCAGTTATTATTAAAATTGTATTGTCAACAGTCATACCATAGTTTCTAAAAAGAGAAAGTCAAGAAAAGACCCTGATGACCATAATGAAGACTTATTTAGGGAAGTGAAGAAATCAAAGTGACTTTTTATTTTTACTTTTTGCCTTCCACACTTGATCTTAGCCAAAAGACCTAGAAGTGATACTTACTCTCTGTCTTCTAAATCAGATTACAGCTTGAATTTAGAGGCTGTCATAGATTTTCAAAAAAAGTTCTTTCAAAATTGATCATGGACGCCTTCAGGGACTAGCTGGTGAACAGACCACACGTCTGCTAGTGGCACTGAATCTCACTACCAGGCGAACCTGCTGGTGAGGACATTTAGTCTCCCTTGTGGGCTTTAGTTAATTTATCTCTGAAAATGAAGTTTGACTATTTCCAAGATTCTTATCTTGTTCTAAAACGTCAGGCTTGAATGAAGTCTCTTCACGGCCTTCTGGTTAGGGTACATGTTGCACTATAATAAATACTGTAGGAGGAGCCAGGAAGCTCTTGCCCTGGTCAACCTAGTTGATACTGCCTTTCCTTCTTGGATTTGGAATGACAGACACTATATCCGTTTCATG